TTGTTATGATCCACGCAGTCAAATGCCTTTGCATAATCAATGAAACACAGATAGATATTCTTCTGGTATTCTCTGCTTTCAGCTGAAGAATTAAACCACACAAAAACTCAACTCAATCTCATAGATATTTATAGACTAATGTACCTTAAAAAAGCACAGTAAACCTTCTTCTTCAATTGCATGGAACATTCTCAAGAATACATTGCACCTTGGGCCACAAGGCAAAAATCAATAAATTAAAAAAAATACAAATAATACAAAGCATCTTCTCAGACCATTATGCTACAAAATTAGAAATTAATAAGAAGAAGATAAAGGAGAAAAAAACATACATTTGGAAGTTGAACAACACCTTGATTGAACATGAATGGGTACAAGAATAAATAAAAAATGAAATTAAAAAGTTTTTTGACACAAATAACACTGAAAACACAACTTACTAAAACCTCTAGGGAACAGCCAAAGCAGTGATCAGAGGTCAACTCATAGCAATAAGCAAACACATCAAAAGGCAAGAAAAAAATGACTTTGACTCTCTAACTCAACATCTCCAACAAATTGAAAAAGAACAGCAAGAAAACCCAAAACATTCTAAAAAAACCGGAAATTATACAAATTAGAGCAGAAATAAATGAAATAGAAAATAGAAGAACAATTGAAACCATCAACAAAACAAGGAGGTGATTCTTTGAAAAGGTCAATAAAATCCACAAACCATTAGCAAAACTTAAAAAGGAATAGAAGTGGTAAAAGACAAATACTCCAAATAAAAACGAAATGGGCAACATCACAACAGAACCAAGTAAAATAAAAAGGCTAACAACTAAATATCATAAAAAACTATCCTCATGCAACAATGAATGAATGGAAACCCAAAATATCTGTAAATGTTCATTAAAATTAATAAAATGTAATTAAAAAAAACTATACTCAAGCAAATATGAAAACCTAGAGGAAACGGACAAATACTTAGACATTCACAACCCACCTACACTAACACCAACCGAAACTGAACACCTGAACAGACGAGGTTGTGGAGAAACTGGGGTCCTTATTCACTGTTGGTTGGACTGTAAAATATTGCAACCACACCATTTGCCAGAGAATTAGTTTTGGGAGTCCGGGCCGGGGACAGAGGCAGAGCTTTCCTCATCTCCACGCCTCATTCAGGTATCGCACGGAAAGACGGGGAGGTCGCAATCGCCAGAGAATTAGTTCTGTGGCCCTCGGCCAAGAAACAAAAGTTGTACACTGGTCCTGGAGGACACATTCTCTCTTCTGGGAAGCCATCCGCTTGCATCAGCACCAGGCTGCAAACAGAAGACAAGTGGTATTAACCCACAAGAAGTCAATCTTGGAGTGGAAGTTTAAGAGGCCTTCTTCTCAGGATCTTCCAGGAAAAGAAACTGTACATGAAAGTTGTACTTAAGAACTTTAAATTGAAGTCACACTGAGCGCATCATAAGAGACTGACAGCAGCATTATATGGTCAGAATCAGGAATCCTGATTACTTGAGACTTAGCACATCACATCAGGGGCTGGTCAATGGGAGACGGGTGTTGAATGTTGTAAGCAAAAGTAGGAAGGGTTGGTGGTGGAGTAGTGAAAGGGTGGATTTAAAAACAACAACAGGGTGGGGTTTGGGGAGGTGCGGGGAGGGGGATTGTGTACCAATGAGGGAGTTTTTCTTTTGCTTTTCAAGGAGAGGAGCAAATGGGGGGGGGGGGGGTGTGTGCGGGGAGAAGGGTGCAACAATGAATGAATGGAATCCCAAAATCTCTGTAGATGTTCATTGAAATGAAAAATAAACAACCTAAATTTAAAAAAAAAAAGAACAACCCCAAAACCAAGCAAACATGTAGCAGGGTGGGCAGCAACATTGAATATTGGTCTTTCTAACTGGTACTCTCTTCTGTAGAATGTTTATCTGTCAGATACTATTATATATATTTAAAAATTGAGAAAGACTAGGAAGACGGATTGGCAAGCCCCTTCTGAAATTACAGGCCTTCAAAAACCCTATTTTACAATAGAGCACAGAAAGCAGGAGCGCCATCCACTTCCAAAATGGCTTGCCTCGGGAAACTCTATGTACGAACAGTGCTCAGGCCATTCGTTCACAGGGTCGCTATGAGTCGTCTACAACTCGACGTCATCAAACAGCAATAACAATGACGACGAAAAAGAGAGAGCTACGTTGGCCTAGTGGAAAGGAAGCTATGCTACCAAGCCAAAGGTGGGTGATTTTCATCTGTGGCCCTCGACCAGGTTCAAATTGTTTTCCTGTCAAACATTCTTCTAGGTGGTATAGCACTGGTCTGTTTGTTGCTGTACAGAGGTAACTCTTGGTTGCTGTGATGCTGAAGACTGTGACAGTGATGTTCCAGTCATGGTAATGGGTACCCATGGTGGACAGTGTTGGCTGGAGCTTCCCGACTAAATCAAGCCTGGAAGCAGGAGCGGCATTCATTTCTGAAATGGCTTGCCTCTGGAAACTCTATGTACGAACAGTGCTGAGGCCTTTACATTCATAGGGTCCCTATGAGTCGTCTACGACTCGACGGCATCAAACAAACAACAACAACTTGCCTGTTTGGAAAAACTTTTGTTCATATATTTCTTTACTCTGTAAAATCTCAATTGAGAATTTCACAGATAATATTAAATGTTTAGGCAAAGATGAATACAGAGAGAATAAGAATTTACTCAAGTAGAGGAGTGAATACTTTATTGTAAGAATTTCAGGTGGCATAATACAAAAGAAAAACATTAAAAAATAAGGACTAGGAACTGTAGAATGTTTTACAAAGATAGAAACACTAGAGAGATTCTGTATCCAAGGAAGTTCTGCCACTCATTGTACTAGTTGTGTTGTCCCACCCTCAGTGCTACTTTGTTTCTCTCTACCTATTTTTCCATTCATTATCTGCCCATTTATCTTCATAATTTTACATTTTACTCTCTCACACCTTTTGTTTAGTCATAATTTTATCTTGTGTGTGACACTTTGTTGCTCTAGTACACTTCGCAATGTCTCTATACATTCTACGATTTTCAACTACCTTTACAGTTGTCTCATTATTAACGTTTTTTTCTTATTCCTCTGAGAAGAAATTGACTATATTCTTGAGCAAGGTGTGCATTCCCAACCCAATCAACCTAATTTAATCAAGAGTTAAAGTTTACCTGGCCAGCTGGGACTATGATTATTTAAACCAGTTCAGCCCACACCAAATTACCTCTAAAATGTTAGTTTCTACAAGCTGAAATACCCTAAACAGTTTTCTTAATACATCAACTCTAGCCTTGTTCAATTTTTTTCTGAATTAAGATTTTCCCAAAAACTCATTCAGAGGAGGAATTAATTTGTATTGCCATCCTTTTCGATATGCTGAATCCATAAAGAAAGGGAGACTGACAGGAGCAGTCAGGGACAGAATCCCATCTCAGATGACTGGATAAGGGTGGGTAAAGTATAGTCACAGAATTTTAAACAAAAGGTGGGAACCCTTTTGGGGGGATTTTTTAATAGATAAGAAACAACAAATTTTAACCTATCCCTGTCTAAGGTAGCATAATCATAAAGAAAAAAAATCTCTTGCCATGGGATGAACAGAAATTTACAAATATTCAGAGCAGTGTTCTATCATTAATAAGATTCAAATCCACTGCTTCTCCTTAGGACTCTATTTTTTCACTACAAACTAGAGTTCTCATTCGGCACATTGGTGGGAAGAGTACCAAAGACTCAGACTCTAGGGAAGAAATAAAGTACATGGTGGTTTAAAGAATAATTCAAAAGCCTAGACAGGTGTAATCTGAAGACACGTGGTTTGAGGCCACTAGCTGCTGACAGGAGAAAGATGAGTAATCTCCTTCCTGGCGATTAACTGCCTCTGAAAACCCATCAGAGGGTCAGCTTTGGGTCGGTTTCAGCTTAACAGTAAATAACAACACAACAAGAAACCGGTATAGAATTAGGATCCTTAAGGAAGGTTGCAATAGTTACTATGTATACAACAGATGAGTTCTGTTCTCTTGTCATTATCCAAGAAGTTGATGTCTTCACAGTTGTACATACATGACAGCCTTGAATATAAATAATGACTCTCACCTGAGGAAATAGAGTGATGGCATGCATGAAATGAGTTTATTCTCTCTTGCAATCTTCCTAGAATAACCTCTCTTCAGGTTCTTACTAACCTTTCTCTAAACCCAAATGAACTACAAGGCTGAGTATTCTAATTATTATCCTTTATTTCCTCAACAAGATTGGCACAGTGACTTTAACAGTGGACTCAAACATATCAGAGACCATGATGATGGCACAGGATAGACATAACAAGGTTCAGATCTGTTTGTTTTTCTTAGGGTCACTATGAATCTAAGTTAACTCAACAATGATTAGAGGCATCAACCTCTTCTTTATGTAAAATCATCTAAAGAAGTTTACTTTTGCCATTCGCTTACATGACCATCTATTCTTACTCATCCCATTCACTCTGGGCAGAAGAAATCACTGTTTCTAAAGGAAGTCAGACATTATTCTTCAGTAACTCTATACTCGCTTACTACCTTTTTTTGTAATTACATGAATGTTCTCAATGGCACAGGACTGTTTATATTTCAGGTGGCAGGACTTCATAATAACAGAGCACTTTCCAAGATGATATCTTCTACATATAAAACAGTAAGTTGCAGTCTGCCAAACACAGAAACATATAGTTAGAGTATTAAGTCTGGGGAAGGTCTCCCCGGGGTCTAGGGACTTTGGATTCTTAATCTTTTCCAGGTCACTGGCTTATTTAGTAATCTGGTAAACATAAATCAAATAGCATGTATCATTTCAAGATGTTTTCCAGGTCCCTGGGAAATTTATTTATACATATCACATAATGAAACTCTTATCTAGCTTTAAAAAAAAATCTAGTCTTGAGAAAAGGGGAGCAAACAAGGGAATTTTGGGCCCTTAATCCAAGAAATACAGTAGACTAGGGTAGAAGATAAAACCTTCAGGCTACTTTTTAAGAAGGGATTACAACTCTCTCTGAATGAGAAGAGTTTTATACCTAAATATGTCACAGATCATCCCTCTATGGAGGACTTTAGACTGACCATCATTGTACCTTTCCTGGAGTCCAGAAAATTACCTGTGGAAAGAAGAATATTCTTCCTTGTTATGATTTTAAAAATATCTGCCACAAACCTAAGAGCTAATTATGGAAATTTTACTCTCACAGAATCCAACCATCTCTCAGCCATATCTCTCCTCTCCTGTGATTTACTTTCTCTGAAAACCCTCTGAGAGTGAGTTATGGGTTGATTCAAACTCAATGGCACACAGTAAAAACTCCACCATATAACAACCACCACTCTGTCTCTAGAACTTACACTCAGATGGGCAGATCAAGGTGAAGATGCTCAGCAGGAACCACACTAACATTCTAGTAGCATTTAGGACTTTTGTCCTGTAACAGGTGCTTTCTGTTCCTCTTTTGTAATTTGCCCTTGGGCTATTTATCTGAGTCATAGAATCATAAAATTTCAGGGACTGACAGTATCACAATGTCTCCAAAACAATTCACTATATTCTAATAACCTCAAAGCATTCTCAATATGATGCTCACTCTGAGTTTTTGGAATTCTTCAACAACAAAATCTTTAACGTTTCATCACTAATAAATCAAAGAGCCTGGGTGATATAGTAGTAAAGGATTGGGCTGCAAATAAAATGGTCAGAAGTTCAACTACCCCATCTGATTCATAGGAGCAAGATGGGAAATTCCCCTTCAAAAAAGATTTACATCATTAGAAACCCAATAGAAAATCACTGTGAGTCAGACTTGGCTGCAGTAGGAATGAGAGAATAAAATGATTAACCAAAATCTACCTATAACTCTAACTTCTTTCTCCACCAATTCACCCAAGCCCTGAACCACTCACATCAGGTTTGTAGCACAGCTTCTTAACCATTTCATCACTGCAGCTTTCTGGCAGTTACTCAAAGTTTATTTTGCTTCTATGTGCAACTGAGTCTTTTTCTATGGGTGGAGACAGTGAGTGTGAGCTTTTCATCCATACCATTGTGTGAGTCAGATGAAATTTCTTTTTTCTTTCTTTTAATTTTCTCTCCTCTAATTACCCATCTTTTATTTGTGTCTTTTGATTTCTCTACGTCTGCATATCTATCTACCTACCTATCTTTTTTCTTTGTTACTTGTTTCCCTGGGTTATATTCAATAGATTGAAGAAAGACCTTTAGAGCTACACATCTGGCTTAAATTGTTTATTGAGGAAAGCATAGAATTAAATGTCCGTGAATGTGGAAAGGAAGCTGCTGAGTAGCTGTAGTTTAGGAATTTTCTAAAGTTACTGATAGTCTCGTAGTTTTCTCCTTGGTGAATCACTGGAGTTGGCCTGTTGGCTTTCTTCAACTGCTAGAGTCCATTCATAGACCATCTTTGACACTTCCAGTACCTGGGGCACATACATACAATGGCTTTGCTACTAGTTTCACAGAAGTTACCAAGTAAACTTTCTCTGCTGCTACTCCAGCAACAGTGGTGGGCAATCAACTGCTCATGTGTGTTATCTTATTGTGGATAGGATGTGGGTGAAAAGTTTCTCCCTTCTCTGAAATCTGCAATCCCTCTTCTCTCTGCAGCATCTTCTATAAACATCATTCTTTCAGGCAGGTATCCATCTGAAGCAAGCACAGGTAAGAATTTAAATTTGAGTTATTCACCCAGTCTGATAGAGTCAATTCTGCATGATTAGACATTAGAGGTCACATCTAGTATAATATTCCAGGGAAACATTTCAATGTTGTGTATTAGTTAAATTTAAAAGAAAAAAGGAGTCTAGGTCTCTATGGGCTATTCAGCACTCTTATGCCACAAATCAAAGGCATCAATTAGTCTTCTGTCATCCTTATTCATTGTCCAACTTTTAGCTATATAGCAAGTGATTGAAAATATTATGGTTTGAATCCCATGTACCTTGATCTTCAGAATGATATAGTTGCTTTTAAGCACTTTGGAGAGATCCCTATCAGCAGGCTTTCCCGGTTGCTGGTAAGGGAGTTGATTGTGAATCCAAGCAAGAAGAAATAATTGACAAATTCTAGCTCTTCATCTCTCAGGATATTAGCCTCTTGGAAATGATGATTGTTTTCTTGATACAGATATGTGTCTCATGTCTTTGATAATATGCAACAAGCATTTTAAGTCCTCCTCACTTTCAGCAAGCAAAATTGTGTCATCTGCATAACATAGGTTGTTGATGAGTCTTTCTCCAATCATATTGCCACATTCCTCGTCATATAGTCCAGCTTCTCAAATGATCTTTTTTCTGCATACAGATTGAATAGGATTACAGGGAAGATAAAGACCTGATTAACACCTTTCTTTATTTTAAACCTGCTTTATGCAGATGACACAACCGTGCTTACTATAACTGAGGAGGACCTGAGGTGCTTGCTGCAGAAGGTCAAGGACTGCAGCCTCCTATATGGATTGAAGCTCAACATCAAGAAAACAAAGATTCTCACCACTGGACCAATTGGCAGCATCAGTATGGATGGTGAAGAGATTAAGATAGTTA